CTCAGTCAAAGCACAAAAGCTTTTGCTCACCCTTCTTTCTCCATGCTTCAGAGAGCAGCTCTGGGGGACAGGAGGAGGAAGGGAGTGAGAAGAAGGAAGAAGTGGGTAGTGAAGAGGGAGGAAAAGGAAACACAGCCAAGGTTGAGGATAGAGTCACACCTCTGCGAAATATCTCCAAGAAGACTGCCAAGAGGATCCTGGAGCTCGTGAGCGACGAGTCGGTGCGTGACGATGTAGCACGTGCCTTGATCAGGGGGCAGGCGTGCTGTCCCCTGGTTGCTCCAGCTCGTAGTGGATCTCTTCCGAGCTCCACGGCTTGGGGTGAATGTTTCTGCAAGGCACTGCCTTGCTATGCCGAGCAGCCTGTTGTCAGAGAGCTGCCCCAGGGGCTGGGAGAGCATCTCCAGGTCTTTCCACTGTGTGTGGCACATACATGATGCTAATAAAAGCTATCGGCAGGCACAGCCCCGTTGCCCAAATCCACAGCTCCCCAGGCCAGAACAAGCACAGGCAAAGCTGCTGCATCTGATGCTCCAGGCCGTTCCCCGTCTCTGGGGACAGTCAGCAAGAGCTTCAGATCATGAGGTCCTTTTGGCGTCACCGTGCTGATAACTCTATCTTCCCTTGTCTGCCGGGTGGCTATTCCGGAGCCTCCTGGCCCTGCCAGCCTCCCGCTGCCCAGCCGCTGCCCACCCTCCCCGCTCGGCCTGCCATCGCAGGATGGCACGGCCATAGCATCATGGCATGGGCTGGCTTCTGGGCAGGGACGGAGACGCTCGCTATTTCTCTGCACCCTCTTCTCTGCCTGTCTCCCAAGGGTTTCCTCATCGAGAGCAAGCTGCTGAGGCCCCTGCGCGCGCTGGGGAGGCACGAGCGCACCCTCATGAAGCTCGACTCCATCTTTGCGGTGAGTTGTGGTTTGGCCCGTCAGGGGCTGCGGGGAAGGCTGGCGGTCTCCAGGGAAAGCTCTCTGCCCCCTGTCCGTGTGGCGTAGGACTGAGCCGCCCCAGTGAGGTCCAGGCTGGGCTGCTGGGGGGACTCTGGGGCAGCGAGGGGAGAGGAGCACTGCGAGAGGGCGTGAAGCACTGTGGCCAGACGCTTCTCAGCTCAAGGCCGTCCTGCTGATGAATTAAATAACGTCTCCAGGGCCCCTCCAGCCTGTTCTCAGACTCTCCCATCCACAGATACCCCCGGCTGTCCCACACTAACCACCTCTTACCTTGCGTGGCATTGCCAGAGGGTCACCCTCTGCTCCCGGGAAATGCTCTTCGTTTCACTCCCCGTCCCGTGATGTCTCTGAGAGACGCTAATCTGGTTCCTCTGCTCCCCAGGCCCTCGAGATCGACAGTGAGGATGACCTGTACCAGCTGGTGGATTTTTTCCTGAAGTACAAAGCCCAGGAGGTGGCTGTCAGCCAGGTGGGAGCACCAGGGACAGCAGTGGGGAGAGCCCAGCAGAGCCAGGGGTCCAGGAAAGGGGGAGCAGAACATCTCCTGAACACCCAGGGAAGGCAGAGAGGGGGACCAGCGTGTTGACCTTGAAATGTTTCCCTGTGACCGGAGAAGGGAGGTGAACGTGCCAGGGCTGAGGGGTTGTAATCTTCTTCTGCCGTGGCTGAACAGGGCCCCTTGCACATGAATTTTTGCCTGAGCTCCCTAAATTTGCCAAGGGACGAGGCTGCGGGCAGCTCCCAGGGGCAAGCTGGCTCTTGGGGAGGAGGAGGTAGTGGAAGGCACAGTGCCCACCTTGCTGGCCTTCCCTCCAGAGCAGCCCAGGTGGAGAAGATGTCAGGGATCCGGCTGAGGCCAGAGAGGACAGTGGATCCGGTGCCCAGAGGGATGAGCTCAAACCCCCTCGGAGCTCACCGGGCTCCACACCGTCTGTGGACATGCACGCTGATGATGTCCTAAGGATCCTGAAAGCGTTTGTGCGGGATTTCCACAAGCTGAGGTAGGACTAGGGGCAGAGCGGGGCTGTCGTCACTGGGAGGGAGCCAGACGGGGGCACAGAGGGGGCTGCGGAGGTGTGCAGGCAGGGCTGGGGGTGACCGTATTGCCCTGGCTGGAGCAAGAGCTTCCCCTGCCTTGCCCTGCAAGATTACAGAGGGGTGGGGAGGGTCCCACCAGGGCAAAGGGGTACAGACAGTGCCTGAGTGAGGGATGGCTGGGGACAAGGCAGGAGATGACCAGCAACCCAGGGAGGGAAGCAAGGCCATGGGGCAGGCATGTGCCAGCTGTGGGGTCGTGCTCATTCGTGTGACGATGGTGATGGTGCTCAGTGCAGCTGAGGGGTACGGGGCTGTTCCTCACCCATGAAGAGCTGAACCCCAGGGCTTTGTTCTCTGTCCCCCAGGGAGAAGGACGGATCAGCAAAGGAGGTGCCACAGGTACGGGACAGCTCCAAGGATGGGGAGTATTGGGAAGCCCTGGCACACGTTATCCCGGAGCCGACACTGAAGCTGTGGGATGCGCTGGCGGTGGCACTGGAGGAATATTAGTGAGTGCCTGGCAAGCGCTGTTGGGGACAGGGCAGGCTGGTGGTTTGGCTGGGGGAACTGCACCGACTGGCCGCGTCAACCCTCTGCCCTCCTTGCCCAGCGAGGTCCTCACGCGCAGGGCCAGCCTGCTCGCCGAAGCAGCCGTCCTGCGGCAGCAGAACTCGGAGCTGTTCTTGCTGCTGGAGGCGTACGTCAGCTCCGGGGTGAGTGCTGCATCCTCCTCCCCTGCAGCCTGGGGACGCCCCACCACGTGTGCCCGACGCAGAGGTCCCAGACATGGGGGCCACTGCATGGAGCCCCTCGGTGTCGGGCTCAGGGTGCTTCTCCCCGCAGGTGAACAGCAAGCTGCCCTCCCCTCCCACGCAGTGGATGGACCCGAGCCTGTCCTGCCCCGGGGAAGCGCAGTGAGTGCCCAGGGCCAGGGCACGGCTTTTCTCTGCCCCGAGCTGAAGCTGTGTCTGGAGCCAGGGCTTCCTGGCAGGGACTAATAAACCCTTCCCAAACCTGAGCCGTGAGTGTGCGTGTGGCCTGCGAGGAGCACCCCTCTTGCCTCTGAAGATGCTGGGAAGCCGCAGCCAAGCATCTCCCCGATCCAGGGGACTCGCGGCGCTGTGGGAAAGCATTTCCCCACTCATGCTGCAAAGCCGTGTGGTCTGGGTCCTTCCTTCCCTCCGTGGAGCCAAACCCAGGCAGGAGCCTTCACCTACCGCAGGTCAGCATCCCCGCCGTCCCTAGGCGTCCTGGCTTCGGGAGAGCCCGCCTTTCTTCACCTGATTTTACACCTTGCTCCCCACTTTTCCTTTTGCTGCCCCAACACCTTTTCTCCCCCTGGACTCCTCCCAAACAACCCACCCCCCAATTACTTTTCCCTCGTCGGGTCCCGGTGCTGCTACATCTGTACCTAAATTCTGCATTTCCGGGGCGATATCAGCCCAAAGCGGTGCTACCGGCAGAGTTATCTCCAGGAGGGCCACGTCGCATCCGTGACTCCCTTCCACCCCCCTGGGTCACACCAGTTATATCTCGTTCCCAGCAGCCTTGACTCCCCCGCCTAACGCACAGCACGAGCAGTTTCTCATACCAGAGCGGAATAACACCATGGTTTTTTGCTCACTGGGTATCTGTGCCCTTGAAGAGTTTTCACTTTTCTCCTGGTCCGCATCAGGGGACCCGGCCAGCTTCGAGGGCCGGTGACCCCGTGGGACCGCTTGCTCGCTGTACCCCTGGGGTACAGCGGGATCCACAGGCCAGAAATGCAAACAAGGCGGCCAAGACCGAGGGGGCGGGAGGCAGGGAAAGGGTTTTGGGGCAGGGGAGGCGGGGATGGGCACGCTGCC